CCTCCTTTTCAAGGCTGAATAATGTTCCACAGTGCGGACAGAGCACATCTTACTTACTAGGTTGCCCGTTGGCAGATGCTTGGGCTGTGTCTGTCAGTGGGGGCAAACCTGTGGCACGCGTGCCACGGGAGGCCGTTTGTGTCATTGAAAGGTCTGAAAGGTCCGCCATCCCTGGTCTAAGTCATGAATGACACAGCTATGAATGCAAGGGCACAGACATCTGAGATTTTGCTTTATGTTCTTAGGACACATAGCTGGCCCTTCCTGTCCTCAGATCAAAAACACATTTTTAAAAAAAATTGCACCTGGGGCCAGGGATTTAACCCAGTGGTTTCACCGCCTGCTACACAAGTGCAAGGACCCCAGTTCGATCCCCGGTACCAAAAAAAAAATTGCACCTGTCCTGAATACATACAGAGTTGTTCTTGTCATTACCCCTGAGCACCACATCCTAGCAACTGTTTGCATAGCAGTGACATTGTATGAGATATTGCAAGTCATGCAGAGAGAAAGTGTGAGCATGTGTGTGTAGCTTCTTTACAGATACCTCATCATTTCAGTTTAGTTTAGTTTTTTGAGACAGGGTCTCACTGTGTAGTCCAGGCTGGCCTCGGGCTCAAGGTGATCCTCCTGACTCGGCCTCCAGGGATGAAGAAGTTAGGGGTGTGCACCACCACCCCGGCTCTTTGTGTTTTTTAAATGTGGCTATCCTGCTCGTGAGCTTGTTCTCTCTTCTCGCACTATGGTTTGTTTGGGTTTTTTTGGTACCGGGGATCGAACTCGGGACTTTGCGCTTGTGAGGCAGGCGGCAGAACCACTGAGCTACATCCCCGGCCCTCTCATGCTATGGTTTTGATTTGCATTTCTCTGATGAGGGCCTTGGGGCCTCTTTTCATTTGCCTCAGGCATTTGTATGTCATCCTGGAAGAATTATCTAATCAAATCTTCTCCCCATTTTAAATTTTTATGTATTTGCAAGGCTGGGATTGAACCCAGCGCCTCATGCATACTGGGCAAGCATTTTGGTCATTTTAAAAACTAAGTTATTTGCTTTTGTTGAGTTACAGAAGTTCTTTTTTTGTTTGTTGTTTGTTTTTTGGCTACCGGGGATCCAACTCGAGTCCTTGCGCTTGCAAGGCAGGCAGCAGAACCACTGAGCTAAATTCCCGGCCCCAGAAGTTCTTTTTTCATGTCTGTTTTCCCCTCCTTTTGAAAATTAGTGAATATACAGAATAACAGGTTTCACAGTGGCAGATTTATGTATACACAAAACATACTTTAATCTTCCTTTTGCCTCCACCCTGGCCCCGTCCGCTCCTCTTTTCGCATGCTTTGGGGGGGCTCATGTGATCATATTCACGCCCTCTCATAGCTGCCCTCATACCCCTTATATCCTGGGACGGAGGACCTCCCTGCATGATCCTTGAGCCTTTTCTCTGTACCTGAAAGATTATTTTGTTTGTTTGTTTGGCGGGGGGGGGGGTTGCATACTGGGGATTGAACCCAGGGCCTTCCACTGAGATTCCCTTTGTGGTTTTTATTTTGAGACAGGCTCTCCCCAAGTCTCCAAGTTTCCTGGAGTGGGCCTGAACTTGGGACCCTCCTGCCTTAGCCTTCCAGTGTGCTGGGATTATTATAGACAGCTAAGTTAGGTAGAAATATTATAGACAGCCAGACAGGGTGAGACCCTCGAAGGAGTCAGTGTGGGGGATAAGACACTTTACAACTGTGGCTGGAGGCATGTTCCTGGAAGGCTAGGCCTCAGGGTAAAGACGGAATGCTACATACATCCCTGGAATGCCTACCTCCCTCCCCAAGGGAGAAACAGAAGGATCCGAATTCTAAATAGGCACCAGTCACCAGTCAGGTGACCAGGACCTCCTGACCCATCTCTTCCAAAAACGGCCATTGTTCTTGCCCTGTGCACTCTCTGCGTGGCCTGCTTCCCCAATGAGTCAGCATTGCCTAAGCGACCGTACTTGCAGTCTTATTGGTTGATCATAACTTTGTCCCGCCTTCTGCCCCCCTCGTGATTTTGCTGTATAAACCTCCTTTGAGAAGTGGGGTCATGGGCAACCCACTCTCTGGGACCCTCCTGTCCCTCTCTGGCAGGAGCTGTCTTTCCCTCAATAAAATTCCTACTCCTAACCTGTGTGGTTCCTCAGAACTCACTCTTCAATTTGGGGGAACCGGAACTCAGCGCATGGGGCATCTGGCAGGGCAGGAGTTCCAAGATGTCCCTCCATCGTTTGGGGTCCAATAGCAGGAAGGCAGGTGTGGAGGCCCAGGCTCTGCCCTCCTTCACAGGGTTACTGTCTAAAGATTATTACTATTTTTGGTGCTGGAGGTGGATCCATGTGCCAGTCCCCATGCTGGGCACCGGCTCCAGGCTGTGCCCTGGGGGAAGAACCTTTGCCAAGGGCTGGCCTCACTCAATGCATCCGGTGCCGCCCCGGGGACAGGATTCACGTTAGAGAGAACTCGGCCCACCGGCCAGCTCTGTGCTGGGTAAGACTCTGCTTTCAGTCCTTGATTTCTCGAAATGCCTTGGAAGGCGAAGGAGGCAACAGGGCTTCTTGGGTCAGAGTCCTGAGGCTTAGGGGAAAGGGTCTGAAGGAAGCTGGCTGTTGTGTTGTCTGCACCCTCAGAGGGGACTGGGGACAATACGGGGACCCCTCTGACCCAGGGCGGGGCAGAGGTAGCAGGAGGCTGAGTCCTGGGTGGCAACTGCAGGACCGCCAGCCACCTCTGGGCTGCCACGTATGAGGGAAGCTTGTTTGTCACCTTGGGAGCCTCTGTGCTTTGGGTGTTGTACGAGTCTGGTTTTCTTGTCTTTCTTTTTTGAGACAGGGTTTCACTATGGAGCCCAGGCTGGCCTCATACTTGCAGAGATCCTCCTGCCTCAGCCTCCCGAATGCTGGGATGGCAAGAGTGTACTGTTTCCAAACCTGGCATCTCTTACCTTTTGAACTGTGGTCTTTACTGCTGCAGGGGTTCCATGGGAACAGGAGTGGGGTCTTGCTGTTCACAGCTGTAGCCAGCTCTGCAGGCTGCATCTCGGCCAAGGGCCAACAGTGCAGATCTCAGGGGCTCAGCCCAGCCCTGCGGAATCAGCCCTCCGTCCTAGCTGTATGCATATGACTTCATTCAGCATGGGAGGAGGAAAGCTCCCCTTTCCAATAGCAACCAGAATTATGAAATACTTAGCAGCAAAACTTCCCGGAAAACGTGGGATGCAGCTGGGCACATCTTGGGGATGTAGCATGGTGGTGCAGGCCTGTAATCCCAGCACTCGGGAGGCTGAGACAGGAAGATCACCACAGGTTCAAGGCCAGCTTGAACTACATAATGAGAACTTATCCCCCAAAAAAACAAAGCAAACAAAACAAAACAACCAGAAAAGAAAAAAGAAAAAAAGGAAAAAGAAGAAGAAAGAAAGGAAGGAAGGGAGGAAGGAAAGAAGGAAGAAGGAATACCCAAAGATCGGGCCACCCACGCCGGCTGAGCCAGCCATGGCGGGGCCCCCAGGGTCCCGAGCCCGCCAGAGCACACGGATGGGACACGGATGGGACATGGATGGGACACGGAGGCGCCGTGTGCTCACAGGGGGAGGGCAGCTGGGCCCTGGGCTCTGGGGACAAAGGGCACACAGAGTGGCTGGAGGTGGCAGAAATGCTTCTTTCAGTCTGGTGGCCAGAACTGGAGACGCGGGTGTGGGCAGGGCCTTCTCCTCGTCCTTGGAAGGCCCTGGGGGACCATCCTGCCCTGCTGGCTCCCCGGTGACAGGGCCGCGCAGCTCCATGCTCTTCTCCCCGGGCTCGGGGCCCTCGCATCCCACCTGTGGGACAAAATTTGCCTGTTTTTTTTCCTTCAGTCTGTGCCTCACTATGTAGCCCAGGCTGGCCTCCAACTCAAAGCAATCCTCCTGCCTCAGCCTCCCCAGTGCTGGGATTGAAGCAGGACTTAAAGAAAAACAAGGCCTTGTGTGAGAAAAGCCCATCAGTCAAGATCCAACAAGGTGATACTGTGTTTTTTGACCTTGATGGAATTGTGGGATTTGAGTTTGTAACCAGGAATCCTGAATATTCCAAGAGCTTATTAGAACATTTACAAAATGATGTGTGAAGAAGGCAGCCTGAGAAATGGGCATACAGTTTTAGCCTCCCATCATTACAGCGATCCATGTCATGTATCACTTGATACAGCAATTTCTGTTTCTACCTTATTGGATCTGACACTGCAAGTTCTTGCTCTTCCCCAAAGCCAAAATGACCATGAAAGGTGAACATTTTCAATAGATTCAGATTTCAAGGTAGCCAACAGCATAAGTAAAGACACAAAAGAGAACTGCTTCAGGGTCTCACTGAATTACCCAGGCTGGGCTCCAAGGCATTAAGCAGCCATATAAACTAAAAAGTCTGCTATTCCAATATCAAAGACTGGAATCACCAAATAATTGTCAAATTCTTTTGTCACCCCAGATATGCTTGACCTGTATAAGGAATTTTATTTTTTTGGTACGGGGGATTAAACTCAGGACCATGTGCTTGCGAGCCTCTAAGGAGTTTAAAGCCCTGAGGACAGGCAGGTCAATGAAAAGGTGGGAGCAGGGCTCCTGGCCTTTGTCTCACTCTCCAGCACCCCAAAAGCCCTGCCAGATTGAAATTTCTCATATTTGGCTCTTTCTACCATTCTCAAGGAGATGGTGGTTTCCAAGCAAAACTAGCCATGTTTTTAAATGAATAAATTCCACATGAACTCTAAAAAAAGAAAGAAAGAAAAAAAAGAAAAGCAAGGCCTTCCCAGCCATGGACAGCCCCTCCCCCCTCGGGTCACCACCCTGCCCCGTAGCTGTAACTCCTTGTTCTGGTACAGATAAAATTGACAACTGTGTCCTGTAAACAAGGCTTATGATGCCCAGCTCCCAAGCTACTCAGAAGCCACTGTCTTCTTTCAAGGCTAAGACACAAAACTGCCTGTCCTTTTCCTGTTGCCCTAAACTCGAACCCCCTTCGACCAAACGAATAAAAACCGGAGCTTCTTTCTGTTCTCTCCCTTTGGACAGGGCTCGGTGGGGCTGGAGTCCATAAAACCTGAAGTGACTCCTCCCGAGCGCCCTTGGGCTCTCCTGTCTCTTGGAAGTGGACAGCAGGGCCACAGGTGTGCGCCACCACAGCCACCCGAGCCAGATTCCCCTCTGCTGAGAAGCCCGGGCTGTGGGCGGCCTCCTCAGCCTGCGTCTGCTGGGCCGGGCCCAGACGTGGACCAGCCCCTCGCTGGAGGAGGGATGCAGCTCTGCCCTACGAGGTCAGCAACCAGAAGGTTCGGACCCAGCAGAGCAGGGGCAGGGGGGCCGGGGGGCCGGGAGCCCAGCGGGCTGGCGGGGAGCGGAGCGGGCCTGGGCCGCACAGCTGGTCGGCTCCCTGGGCGGGCGCTGTGGCCGGGTCTCCGGAAGCCAGGGGGCGGAGGACGCTTCACCCCAAATTCAGGCTGTGCGCCACCCCAGCCTAAGCTGCAGCCTAACCCACTCTCACCCTGCGACCCCGGAGACCCCGGAGGCCCCAAGGATGGGACACAGCGTGAGCCCTGTCCCTGCCTCGCCCCCTGCGTCCCTCCGGGGGTGGCAGCGCTGGCTTCGAGCTGTGACAAAGGACATTACTTCAGATGGCCGCTCAGGGCGGCCTCTCTCGGGTGACTCCGGTGCCCACCTTGATGACCCGCCATGGAGACCGGGGCACTTTGGAGAGCACAGAGGCCCCGAGAGTCCCCGAGAAGTGGGCAGGAGAGGAGGGGCGGCCCGGGCAGGCTGTGGGAGCCAGCAGAGTCCCAGCAGGAGCAACTCCATCTGGGTGCTTTGACAAAGGTCTGCAGAGTCCTCCGGGAGAGGCGGATCCCTTCCCGGAGTGTTTACACGGTGTCGGTGTCATTAAGGCTCTTGGTGACAGGAAAGCAGTGCTCCCCAGCCCCCGGTCCCAGCCAGCATGGTCCAGAAAGGGGTCCATGCCAGGGCCCTGACACCCGTTGCCCTGCCCAGTGTGCCTGGGAAGCTGTCCCTGTCGACTTTGGCTGGGGATGGTGGCGCACACCTGTAATCCCAGCACTGGGGAGGCTGAGGCAGGAGGATCACCATGAGTTCGAGGCCAGCCTGGGCTCCATAGTGAGGCCCTGTGTCAAAACCAAACCAAAACAAACCAAAGAAGGCACCTTTGGAACAGGTTCCACTGTGGGTTCCAGGCACCCCTGGAGCACCTGCCTGGACAGGTGCCCAGAGCAGGGTCCCCTCAGGAGAGGCGTGGGCATGGCGGCTCTGCCTGCCCTGCTCCTGCAGGGTGCCCCGCACTGCCCTTCCGCTCTGAGCGCCCAGGGTCCCAGCAGAGGAGCCCGGTGCTGGTAACACGGTCCCCAGGTAGGAGGAAGGATGGAATCTGTGCGGCAGGAAATAGCGAAGCAGACTGACTCGGGCTGGAGCGTGGAAATGTGGCTTTCATCTGAGAAGTCCGTGTGGGGCCCACGCCGGCTCCAGAGGGGAAGTGGGGCTCATGAGTTAGACCTGCAGCCGGGACACTGGCTCGGACTCCCAACACAGCAGCGCTCAGAAACTCTGGCCTGGAAACAAAAGTCCAAAGTAACAAGGTGTCCAGTGAGAGAAACCCTGCCTGTGGGGCTTCTGTGTACTTCTCCATACTTTCTTGAAAGTGCTGCCAAAGTCAGGCCACTGTTAGACCCACAGTTCTGCTGCTTGAGCCGGTCAAGCTCGTACCACAGGGCCTTTGCACATGGCAGGCTTGCGGCTGGACTGTCCCCTCTACCCTCCCCTGGTTGGCTCCTCCCCAGTCAGCTCTGTCCTCAAATATCACCTTCCCAGAGAAGCCCCACCCTCCCCCACTCTCAAATTACTCTGATCGTGTTTATTTTTCAGTATTTGATGTTATTTTTGGTTCTCTGTATCTGCACATTTCACAACTGTGGCTCAAAAATGTTTTTTACAAAAGGTACATATGTGGGCCGGGGATTTAGCTCAGTGGTTCCGCTGCCTGACTTGCAAGCGCAAAGACCTGAGTTCAATTCCCAGTACCAAAAAAAAAAAGGGGGGACATTTGTATTGAGCATGTATGTGCAGGGTTTTTTTCTTGTCAGAATTCCCTAAGCAATGTGGTAGAAGAATTATTTGCTTAGCATTTACTTTGCGTTGGGTATCATAAATCACCTAGAGATGATTTAAAGTGTACGGGAGGATGTATGTTGATCAGATGCAAATGTGGTGTCATTTCCTGTGTATCTGAAATTATTCTGCTGAGAACAGAGTTTAGACCCGTGGTAGCTCATGTGCTTAGCATGTGCCGGGTCCCGGTTTCAATTCCTGGCACGAAACAAAAACAGAATTTTTTTTAAAAATTATGTTTGCTGGCTGGTGATTTCGCTGGGTGCCTGTACCCAGCCCCAGAATGCACTTCCTCGAGCCAGAGCCCAGAGTTCCTGTCCACAGGCTCAGAGGCACTCAATGAGCACTCCGGTGCCCGGAGGGACAGGTCAATAAAGCTTTGGGCTAGGGCCGGGGTTGTGGGCTTGGATCTGTTTTCAGATGCTTCTGGCTGGAGGCCCAGGAGCACCAATGCCGAGGTTGGACAAAGGAGACATTTATTAGTTCCACAAACCAGGAGGTCCTGGGATGGGGGGCTCCCGGGGCCTCAGTTCCAGGCCCCAGTTTCCTGCTTCCCGCTGGGTACATGGTGGTCTGGCACCCAGAGAAGAAAGGAAGCCGCTGCCTTGTGTCCCTTTATATTAGCAGGAAAATTTCCCAGAATTCCTCCTGCACATACTCCTATATGTTATTGGGCAGCATTTGGTCACATGTCCAGCCCTCAGCCAATCACACTGAGAGGAATGGTGTTCCCAACACTGGTTTAGAACCAACAGGAGTGTCTCTTTTCTCCTTTCTCTTTTTCCCTGTGGTACTGGGGATAGAAGCTTGGGCCTTCACAGGTTGAGCTTGTACTTTTAATCCTCCTGACTCAGCCTCTCAGAGTGCTGGGATTACAAGCTTGTACCCCATGCCTGGCTAGAATTTCCTTCTGCTGGGTTAGAGGTCCCTTTTCAAAGCATCTCTGACTGCTGGGAGAAAAGTAGATAGATCCTCTGCCTTCAAGAGAAAAGAGGAGAGGAGGGAATGAATTTTGGGAAAGTAACTGACGGTGTCTGTCATCATGCATGTTTATTTTTTTAATCTAAAATTGGTTTTTTTGTTTGTTTTTGGTACCGGGAATCAAACTCGGGACCTTGTGCTTTTGAGGCAGGAGCTGGAACCACTGAGCTAAATCCCCAGCCCTAAAATTGTTTTTGAGACAGGGTCTCGAGATGTAGTCCAGGCTGGCTTTGAACCCAGAGCCATCCTCCTGCCTCAGCCTCCCAAATGCTGGGATCACGGGCGTGTGCACCACCATGCCCAGTCACACATGTTTATTTTTAAACTGTAATTCTTGAGAAAACCCCTTAAGGTATTGTTTGTTCCCATCAGCAAATATCTAATATTTAGCTACTGAGTAGATAATTTTTAACACCCCCTTCTAAATAATAATTTTCAGTAATAAATAATTATGATTATTGGTAATCAACATTTGGTTAATTCCTTCTTTAGTGTTTAAATGAAAAGAAGGATACAGGGCCAGGGATTTAGCTCAGTGGTTTCGCCACCTGCTGTGCAAGCGCAAGGCCCCGAGTTCGATCCCCGGTACCAAAAGAGACAAATAAAAAAACCCCACAAAACTTTAACGTGATCTCGAAAAGAAGAATACATTTCTGTTTTAAAGATATTTACTTGGCCAGGCATGGTGCTGCACATCTGTGATCCCACCTCCCAGGAGGCTGAGTGAGTTCAAGGCCAGCCTGGACTACATAGTGAGACCCTGTCTCAAAAACAAACAAACAAACAAACAAACAAACAAAAGACATTTACTTAAATTCAATGAAATGCGCTTTCCTGTGTGCACGCGTGCAGGGCGGCTGCGCCTGTGTGGGAACATCGCAGTTGTTGGAAGGCTGGCGAGACGCTGTGCTGACTGAAGGCAAAGTGCACATCGCAGGGACGTGGTGGTACTGCCACACTCTCTCCCCGCTGCGCCAGGTTAGCAAAAAGCGGCTCAGGCTTCTGCGGCTGCTGCGAGTCCATCTTGGGCACTCAGCTGTGCCATCTTGAGGAACACGCACACCCAAATGCCAGGGACACTCACTGGAGGCCCAGGGTGCCTCAAACTTGACACCCTCCTGCTCCAGCCTCCCACAGTGCTGGGGTGGCAGGCGGCCACCATCATGGCCAGCCCCAATAAAACTTTATTTATGACAACAGGCTGGGGACCAGCTTGGCCTGCTGAGGAAGTCCCCTGAGTCTGGCTGTAGAACTGAGACCAGTGTGAGGCACTGTTTGGGGCACAGTTTGTTGCTGAGGGCAGGAAGCGCAGTCTCCTTGTGTAACCATGACTACCGTCCATCCCAGAACTCCTCACCTTCCAAATATGAACCCCAGGACCTTTAGACCCCAATTCCCCTGCCTCTGGGTCCCACCCACCTGCCCTATCTCCACGTGTCTGACTCCAGGGACCTCATGCAAATGGAGTCACACAGTATTTATCCTTCTGTGACTTGCTTATCTCACTGAGCACAATGTCTTCTGGGTCCATCCATGTTGTAACAGGTGTGGGAACTTCCTTCCTCTTCTGGGCTGTATAATATTCCCCTGCCCAGAGTCCCTGGGCTGCCTCTGCCTTGGGCCCTTACTAAGCAGGGACACAAACATCTGTTTCTGCCCTTCTTCTTGGTTCTTTGTGCCCCATACCCAGAAGTAGATTGTTGTGTTCTGTGCTCATTCCAATTTAAGGTTTTGAGAGCCACTACCTGGCTGCCACTGCACCCGCACCATCTTGTGTCCCATCAGCAAAGCCCGACTTCATGCTCCTCCTGTCCTCCCAGGTTCCTGTCTCTTCCTGTTTCTCAGCTGTTTTCCCAGGGCGTGGACAGCCAGATTACCTGGTGGCTTTGCTTTGCGTCTCCCTGCAGATAAGGGACAAGTCCCTCCACACTGTCCTCTCCCACGTGTGCCCTCCAGGCAGGCCGAGGAGGCTTGCGGCAGCGAGGAGGTGGCCCCTGCCTCGGGTGTCACCCTCCCAGCTACGAAGCAGGAAGCAGGGTAACCGAACCCTGGTCCTGGGGAGATGGCTCGGTCAGACGCATCTGAGGCCCTGCGTGGCCAGGCAGGGGGGTTAGTGCTCCGTGGGCCCCACAGGTGGGCAGGGATGGGGCCTCTTCTCCCGTAGGCCTCGAGAGCCCGGCCCCGGGGGGTTTGAGGTCCTCTGGGCCCTGCCCACCTCCCCGTTGTAGCTCACACCCCTCAATGCGCCCGTCCTGCCCTCTGCCTGCCATCTTCCCTCTGCCTTATTGTCTTTAACTTTTTTGGTTTTTTTAAGCCAGGGCCTCACTCTGAAGTTCAGGTGGCCTGGAACTCACTATATAACCCAGACTGGTCTTGATCTCCCAGAGAGCCTCCTGCCTCAGCCTCCTGAGTGCTAGGATTACAAGGTAAATGCACACTGGCAGCTCTCTGAGCCCACACAGTGGACATCAGCCCTGTTTTACCTCCAGACCCGCCCACCACCATTCCCCGGTCCCCTCAAGCCTCCTAGGAGCTGGGCCTGTCTTCCCTGCATCCATGCAGGAAGCAGATGTGTGCGTAGACCCGAAGGTGTGAAGATGGTCATCAGAGGGTCACCGCGGTGCAGGAACAAAGCAGGGTGGGAGTGGGGGCTCCGGGTGGGAGGAGGCGCGGGGGATGTGGGCTTGGGGACCTGGGGTCCAGACTGGGCTCCCACAGGACCTGGGGGTTCGGTTTCCTGTAGCCACGCTGCCAGAGGTGGGCAGGGCTGCGCCCCTTCTCGGGGGCCCTGGAGGAGGCTCCAGCCCGAGGGTCAGGCGGCAGCTTTGGTCCCCGCCTCTTCCTCCTCCTCTTCTTCCTTCCCGTATTGGGGACCGAATCAGGGCGGTGCACCCCTGAGCCAGCCCAGCGCTGGTTATTTTATTCTGAGGCAGGGTCCTGACGAAGTTGCCAGGCTGGCTTCCAAGGTTTGATCCTCCTGCCTCAGCCTCCAGAGTAGCTGGGGTGACGGGTGTGTGCCACCACGCCTGGCTCACTTCTGCCACATTTCTTGGCTGAAGCAGGTCACAAGCAATCAGGCAAGCTTCCGGGGGACAGCAGACGCTTGGTGGCAAGGACACAAAGGTGTGCGGCGCCTTTTATCTACTGCACAGGGCAGAGTGGGGAGGAAGGCTCACGCTCCCGGCCCCTTCCTCAGCTCCTTCTCCATTTTCCTGTGGTGCCATTGTCTCTGCTTTCAAAACCATGAGCTCCAAGGGTGCCAGGATCATGTCTGCTTTGTCACCATGGGTCCCTGCTGCTGGTGCTATGTCTGGCATAGGGCGGGGCCCTGAAATCTTGTCGAGTGCCTGAGCCTCTCCTGACAGGACCCACGTCAGTCAGCTGTACATCACGGTGACCAAGTGCCCCGGAAAGTCAGCTTGAAGGAGGGAAGGGTGATTTTGGCTCACAGCTTCAGAGGGTGCAGTCCACGGCAGGGTGCTTCAGGGGCGGAAGATGGTGGCAGAAGGGCCTGGCCAGGGGAGTTGCTCGTAGCCTTGGCCGGGAGGGAGGGCATGGTGGACGGTGTAACCTAACATTCGGGAGGCTGGGTGGGAGGATTGTGAGTTTGGGGCCAGCCCAGGGAACTTAGTGAGACCCTCTCTCAAAATAAAAAGGGTCCAGGGCCCGGGGAAGTAGCTCAGTGGTATCGCCGTCTGCCTCGCAAGGGCGAGGACTGGAGTTTGATCCCCGGTACCAAAAAAAATAAAATAAAATAAAAAAATTAAAAGGGTTCAACCCCCATTACTGAAAAGACAGAAAGGAAACACAACAGTAGAGGAAACTCTCACACACGCATTCTTTTCATGGCCTGGTCCTTCTTCCCTTGTTTCTTTCTTTTTCTTCTTTTTGTGTTAGTGGGGGTTGAACCCAGGAGTGCTCTACCACTGAGCCATATCCCAGCCCTGCCCTTTTTATTTTTTATTTGGAAACTTCCCGGGCTGGCCTCAAACCTGCCACCCTCCTGCCTCAGCCTCCCGAGTGCTGCTGTACTCCCAGCCCAGAAGCCATACTTGCATCTGTGTTTTGTTTTGTTCTTGTGGTGCTGGGGATGGAACCCAGGGCCTCGCCCATGCTAGGCGAGCCTTCTCCTACTGAGCTACATCCCTAGCCTCGGTTTCCCCACTCCCAAGTCAGCTGGGACAGAGGGGACCCACCTGTCCTGCTCACATTCTGCCTGCAGCCCTGAAGGTAGTGAGTGCGCGGGCAGTGCCGCTCACAGACGGGTGAGTGTGCACCTGGGCATGTCCACAGCAGGGCAGGTGCAGCTCCACTCCGCAGCTGGCCAGGTCCGCCCCGGGCTGGGACCTTTGTCCTGGCCGTGCCCAGCGGTGATAGCACAGGTCCTGGGGCGGGCAAAGGTCTGCTTCGACTGCCAGCCCCGGGGACGGGGACCCTTCTGCAGGTGCCCATGGGCAGCAGCGAGTGATGCAGGCCGGCGACAGTGAGGGACTCAGGCCCTCCAGGGTTTTAGTCCATCGGGGCTCCCTTGACAGAGGGGCAGAGACATTCAGCCCCCAGCACAGGGCAATGGCCCAAGTGGGGCAGGTCCAGGGGCAGAGCCCGAGTCCTGGAGGGGAAACCAGCAGCTTGCTGGTCACCTGTGTCCATGCGGGACCTGAGTATTTAATCACAGGTCACCCTGCACCTCCTGCCCCAGGGCCTTTGCACCAGCTGCACCACTGCCTAGAACGCTCCTCCTGCGGAGGAGTCACCTCAGAGAGGCTGTCCCCAACCATCCCACTGCCCCTGGTGGCCCTGACTGTCTTCATTCTTCTCCTTGAAGAAGCAGGCGTCACCCGGTAACAGCACCATCTAACAGAGACCTAACGAGAGACCACACGTGCAACTAACTCTGCATGGCTGGGATGGGCCCCAGGGCCTTTGTACCTGCTGGACAAACGCTCTACCCCAGAGCCTCTGCCCCAGCCCTGCATATGCAATTTAACTGTCAGCAGCCACGTTTTGCAAAACAAAAAGAAAAACAAAACAAACAAATCCGGTGAAATGAATTGTAAGTCTTTTAAAAACCGCACAGGACCAAATGCTGCCATCCCAACATGGGTGGGTGTAGGAGACGGAGAGTGTTTGCCGGTCTTCCTTCCATCCAGGTCTTTGCGGTGTAGGAGCCCCGGGCGTCTGGTGCGCCCGGGCCCTGCCGCACGCGGCTCTCGCGGGACTCGGGTGGCGAGCGTGCTTCTCCCTCACTGTCCTTGCTCGGCCGTGGACGTGGGCGCCCTGGGCAGCGCGGCTCCCGCTCGCCGCCCGCACAGCAGCAGCAGCAGCAGCAGCAGCAGGTGCGCGCCCCCTCCCACCCTCTGGCGCCCTCGGCTGGCGGTCGGCCGCGCGCCTTCCTCCTCTTCCTCGTCCTTCCCCACCCTGCTCTGCCTGGGGCCCAGCGGCCATAGTGTAGCAAGCCGCTGTCTCAAAATAAAACAGAAAGGACCGGGGGCGGCTCTGGGGGCTCCACGCAGGGTGACTGCCTGGGGCGCACAAGGCCCTGGGCTCGGTGCCCGGCATCCCGGCCCTGAGAAAGGCAGACAGCGACAGGGCAGGGGCGGAAAGTCCGGCCCCACGCCTGCTGGGGACAAGGGTGGGGGGGATGGGGCGCGGGGTGGGGGTGGGGGGTACAAAGGCCCCGGGGCAGAGCAGGAGCAGGTCAGAGGTTTCCTAGGAAATGGGAGACTGTGGGAAGAGGGGAAGAAAATAAAGAAAAGAACTTTTATTGAGATGTAATTTGCATATAGTAAATTCCGGCATTCTAATTATTTATTTATTTATTCATTGGTAGTGGGGATCGAACTGGGGACCTTGCGCTTGCGAGGCATCACTGAGCTAAATCCCCAGTCCTATTTATTTATTGTTGTAGGTGTTTGTTTTCTGCTCGTTTTTTTGAGACAGGGTCTCACTATGCAGTTCAGGCTGGCCTCGAACTCAGGGGACTCCCCCTGCCTCAGCCTCCTGAGCGCTGGGATCACAGGCTGTCCACCCCACGCCAGGCTGGACAGCTCAGTGGCTTTAGTACACACCGAGCCGTCTGCCCACCACCACAATCGATGTGAGAAGATTTTCACCTCTCCAGGGAAGGAGCTGCATACCCCGGAGGAGCCTGTCACCCTCACCCTCCCCGGCCTGGCCACCAGGGGTCGATTTCTGTCCCCTCGTCGTGCCTGTCCCCGACTCCTCAGAGAAACGGACCCCCCAGCAGGTGGCCCTGCATCCACCTGTGACACCAGCGATGTCCACCAGGCCCACGTCCGCCTCCCTCGCTGGCCCGAGACACAGCCGCTGTGCACCATGGGGCCGCGTGGATGGGCTGTGTTCCGCGTCTACCCCCAGCCGGGAGCCAAGTGGGTTTTGTGCAGAGACAATCTGGGGGCAATTTGATGAGCATGCGCTGTAAGTATTTGTATACACAGTTTTTTCTTTGGAGATAGAACCCAGGCCCTTTTATTAAGCTACATCCCCAGCCCTTTTTTATTTTTTATTTTCAGATAAATTCTTGCTAATTTGCCCAGGCTGGGCTTGAACTTGCAACCCTCCTGCCTCAGCTTCCCGGAGTGCTGAGATTACAGGTGTGCACTACCACACCTTGCCATTACTATTATTATTTTTTCAGTCCTGGGGATGGTATCCAGGGCCTTGAGTATGCTGCTCCAGTGCTCTACTGCTGAGCTACATCCCAGCTTTTTAATTTAATTTAATTTAATTTTTTATTTTATTTTATTTTGACACAGGATCTCACTAAGTTGTCCAGGCTGACTTCAAACTTGCAATCCTCCTGCCTCAGCCTCCCGAGCAGCCATCCTCCGAGCTGGTTTTCGCAGGACCCTCGACCCCTAGTGTGGTCACTCTGTCCCTTCTCCTGTGGCCGCCTCTCAAGACTTCTCTGGGTGACGGCACCCGTATCTCCCTCCCTCGGCCGCTGTCCCCACCAAGGTCCCGAGGCTGGCCACGTGCGTCCAACCCCCTTTCATCTCTGCCCTCGCGCTTGTCAGGCACCCACGTGGCATTGGCACTGTGGCCCTGGGCCCGGCCTTGGGCTCTCTGAGGTCAACACCACGCACATCTGGACCTTGAGGACAAGTGGCCCGGGTAAGATGGCCAGGGCAAGCTGGGGCCAAAGGAGGGGGTGGCGTCAGGCCCAGGCCGGCCAAGGCCTCAGCAAAGTGACTCCCCCTTTCCAAGGACTGCCAACATCACTAGGACCACAGCAATCCCTAGTGCAAGGAATCAATAAATGTGTATTAATTCAGGAGTTGCTACCTGATGCCTAATGCATGAATTCGCTAACTGATGACTTCAAGCATTCACCGAGTACCCGCCTGGTTGTGAGAGAGGAGAGACCAGCGTCTCCCTCCAGGAACCTGCAGACAGAGTGGGTGACTTGCCATCGAGAGGGCTGGAGCTCAAGTGTACAGCAGACTAAACACTGAAGGATTTTTCTGAGGAGTGGGCTTTGGGCTGAGACCCGGGAGAGAAGGAGTCAGCCACAGTGGGACCTAGGGTGAGAGTATTTTAGAAGTGAGAACAGCAAGTGCAAAGGCCCTGGGGCAAGAGAAAGCTGGGGCTGTCTCAGGAGCAGAGAGAAAGTGAGGATGAAAAAAAATAAATATATAAATAAAAATAAATAAATAAAAAAGCGAGGACACTGGGGTGGAGGGGGAGAGGGGCCTTGGATGGCAGCAGGGGCAGCCACACGATCCAGAAGCTGCCACCAAGGGGTTCAGTCCTTACCACAGCCCTGGGGACATCGGCACGAAGACTGGAGTCTCAGGAAGGCCCTGGACTCGGGCGGGAGACCAGAGGTCGGATTCCCTGGAAGCTGACTCTGCTGATACCCTGGGCCCAGCCACGGGAAGTCAGGGGTTGGCCAGGCCTCCGCGCTGGACTGCAGGTTCGAGCCCAGGCTGGGCAGCTGAGCAACTCAGGGAGATCCTGTCTTAGAAAAAAAAAGCTGGTGTGCAGCGCAGCGCAAAGGCGCGGGGTTAGAACCACGCCGGGTGGTGCCGGGTGATAAAGCTGAGGCCCGGAGGGCTCTCGGATAAGGCGCCCCGCTGGGCGAGTGGGCCGCGGGGGCGAGGCAGCAGTGATCTGCTCCCGGGCGAGGCCGGCATGGAGGGCGTGGGCACGGGGGTGGGGGGGAGGTGGAGACCCGGTCCAGGCTTTGGGGTCCGGCTGAGCTAGCCAAGGCCTCCTTGGTGTGAGCAACGAGGGCAGTTGGTCCCGGGGCGGCTCCCGCCCAAACCGGCAGGGGCGTGGCCGGGGCCTGACATGCCTCCACCCTTCGCCAACCCGCACCAACCCCCACGCCCACCCTCTCCTCGCCACGCCCCAGTCAGACCGTTGCCCCGCCCGCTGGTCCTTTCCCCGCCCCCGTCGGCCCTTCGCCCCACCCTGTCCCCCTGCCCCCGCCCCGTCCCCTCTCCCCGCCCAGCGAACCTCCGCGCCCCTGGCGCCCGGGGGGCGGCGCGCGGCGCGGGCATGGCGCATAAAGCCGCCGGGCACCTGCCGGGCTGCTCCTCCGCGCTCTGCCGACCCGGGCCCGCCGTGCCACCGCGGCCGGCCTCCCCGGAGTCCGCGCCTGTGTTGCCGGTGTCGCCGTCCCCCCGGGCGCCGAGCCCCGGCAGCTCCCGGGCTCGCAGACATGGGCGGCCGGTCCCGAGCGCGCTGGGCGGCCGCGGCGCTGGGCATCACCGGGCTGCTGTGCGCGGCGCTGGGCGCCGTGATGATCGTCGTGCTGCCCTCTTTCATCCGGCAGCAGGTCGCCAAGGTGGGTCTGGCCGGGACAGGGGCGCGCCGCGGCTCCTGTCCCCGGGGGCCCGGCTGGGCGGGTGGGCGCGCAGGACCCGTGAGGACTGCGCGGGTCCCCTGCACCCCGGGGCAGTGCCTGGTGGGATTGGGGCTCCGTTCAGCTTGTGTCCCGTGCGCCCGTCAGGCAGGGGTGCTTCTGGCCGTCCCGTGGATGCCTCCCCAGAGCGGGGCCAGCAGGGACCCTCGCAGCCATGGTCTCCCCGGTCGGCTCCCAGGCAGCTAGCTGCCTGCAGTGCACCGCCTCTCGGCCTCCTGCGCGTAGGCAGGAAGGATAAGCCGCTTTTCTGCCCGACAGGCAGGGGCAGGCACAGCCGGGGCCCCAGAGGGCACAGGGCCTCGGCTGCCTCTGATGCCAGGCAGCCTCACTCACCTCGCCCTTTTAATCGGGCAGACACATTAGGGCCTCCCGGCGAGGTGGCCGACCGGGCCGCCAGACTCTGGCCTCGGTGGGAGAGAAACTGAGGCTCGCCTTAGGGAAGGTCCAGCTAGAGGCAGAGCTGGGGTGGAGATGCGGCTGTTGCCACAAGAGTTGACAACTTTCCCTCTCCCCGTGCTGTTTGCCCTGAGTTTCTTAAGACTGGGGACCCGGCAGGCGCCGATGCCTGGTCCCCCGAGTGAATGAATGCAGGGCGCAGCTGCCCCCGCCTGGCTGCCCCAGTGTCTGTCCGGGTCTCCTCTCCCTCCCTGGGAGAGCCGAGGTCCGAAGCCTGTGTGTGTCAGGGGTGGTCGGGTTAAGACCTGCGATGCCAGGTGGAGGCCGGGGCCGGGGTTGGTGCTCTGGTTCCCCGAGTAGTGGCTTGAGCTTTATCTCTGCTCCAGGACCTCGCTGACCTGTCGTGTGTACACAACGCATGCCCGGCCCGCAGGGCCTGTGGCGGTGGCAGCTCCTGACCGCGTGCAGGGCACTGGGTTTCCTCTCGGGGCTGGAGAGACCGAGAAGCCCACCCGGGCCACCCACTCCCGGGCTGTCACAGGCTGTCTTCCCCGCCGCCCTCGGGTCCCGATGTCACCTGTGGGTGTACGGGGGCTGGAGCACATGGCGCCGGCACCCAGCTTCCCCGGTCCCGGGACCCCTGGAAGCAGCACCGTCTGGGGCTGCCCTGAGCTCTGGGCTGAAGCCCAGGGACGCCCTTTTCACAAATAAGCAAACGGGGATTGGTCCGCGGCTGCGTGGCGTGGGGGCGTGGAAGCAGGAAGATGGGCCCTCTCGCCCTGCCCAGGCCAGCTACTTCTTAGCTGGCCGGGGCCAGGCGCCTTCCCTGCCAGGAGAAAGCGGCCCTGGGGGTGGAGTGGGTGGGACGCGGTGGGCACTGGCGTTTGCCTTGGCTCCTGGCACTGGGGGCTGCTGAATGGAGGCCTTGTGCTTGGATTATTTTATATGCTTCTTTTGGCTGAAGGAGTTCATTATAAAAGGAGTGAATATCTGCTTGTAAGACATTCAAGTGGAGGAAAAAAGGAAAGTCTCCTGTATTTTATTCCCCTCCTCAGACGTCTTCCCGCCCCGCCCTTTGCATAGATGGTAGAGAGATCACAAATAAATATGCATATGTATAAATTTTTTTGAGGCAGGTCTCACTAAGTTGCTAAATTGTCCAGGCTGGGCTTGAACTTGAAGTCCTCCTGCCTCAGCCTCCCAGAGAGCTGGGATGACAGGCATGCACTACCATGCCCACAACATACCCACACCTCTTTATTTTTTATTTATTTATTTTTGGTACAGGGGATCGAACTCTGGTCCTTGCACTTGCACAACAGGCAGCAAAACCACTGAGCTAAATCCTGGCCCTACATATCTTTATTCTTGCATGGTGCTGGGGATCAGTCCAGGGCCCTGTGCATGCCCCGCACACACTCTACACCCAGCTAGACGTCCAGCCCGGCGTACGCTATATGTATTTCCACAGCCCTTGAGTCTGTGTGTCTTGCAGTTGGCTTTCGGTGCAGTGCCATTGCCCAGGCACTGCTTTGTGAGGCCAAGGCAGTCTGTTATGCATTTGCGCCTGCGCTTTGAGGTCCTCCTTGGAGTACTCCAGCACTTCTTTCCCTTTCTGTGTCGACTGTGCACGCGGCAGTGCCTCTGGAGCCCTCCCGGGGAGTGGGCTGGCTGCACCCTCTGGGACCCACATGGTTCCCGCACAGCCCTCCTGTGCCCAGAGCCTGCTGGTACTTTCCCTGGCACCAGTGCCCGACTCACTTCCCCTCTCCCTCCTACCCTCCCTCCCGTGGCTTTGATTTGCATTTCTCAGGTTCCCGTGAAGGGGAGCAGGACATGATTCATTCTGAAACCTATATCAGCGAGAGTTTCTGAGCTTGGGGAGCAGGCAGGCTGTCATCTGCCAGCTGAGTACCACAGGGCAGTGCCTTAGTCTCCATGCTGAGCCTCTTCGGCTCTAAGATGGGGCCAGCCTGCTTTGCCTCCCAGTGGGATTAGAGGTACAAAGGGGATTACAAGGATGTGGAAATGCTCTGTGTGTAGCTTGCTTCTCATCTGATCCAACTACAGCTTTGCGAAACAGGCTGAGGCGGTGGAATCCCTCCTTAATGATGAGGAATCCAGGCTGTGGCAAAGGTCAGTTTCTGAAGGCCACAGTGGTAGCCTCGGCAGGCAGGAATCCCAAGTGCTGAAGCCTTGTCTACCTTTCCATGAGGCGGGGGAAGTCAGCTGGGAGCTCTTCCTCTGGTGGATTTCTAGGCCAAAGTTAGCAAGAAGGAGCTGGGGATGTGTGCTAGATTGGAGAAACATATTGGCAATTGAAAAACACAAAAACTACCAAACAAGAGTTCAATGGGCTCGTAGTAGCACACGTAGAAGTTTAGAAAAGGTGGAAGGGTGTGCACCAGACTGACAAAAGTGGTTTCAAAAGTGATTATGATCAGCGGTGTGGCAAAGGAAACTATTAAAGATAATGCATTATCCATCATTCTCTTATTTTTTATTGTTTATTTATTTTTCTTTCTCTTTTTTTATAAGGTTTTTTGAGACTGGGTTTCAGTCTTATCCAGGCTGGCCTTGAACCCACTGTATAGCCCATGTTGGCCTCAAACTCAGCAATCTTCCTGCCTCAGTCTCCCAAGTGCTGAGATTACAGCATGTGCTAACACACCCAGCCATTTTTCTTTTCTTTTTTTTTTTTGAGACAGTCTTGCTGTGCAGTTTAGGCTGGCCTCAAACTTTTGGTGATTCTCCTGCCTCAGCCTCCTGAGTGCTGGGATTACAGGTGTGCATCACCACACCCAGCCATGACACTTATTTTTAATTTTGTTTTGTTTGGTACCGGGGATCGAACTCGGGTCCTTGCGCTTATGAGGCAGGCGGCGGAACCACTGAGCTAAACCCCCGGCCCTCACTCTATTTTCTTAAACAGAGACTGCATTGCTGTATTATGTGCTTAGTTAAGAAGTAGTTGCACAGGTCTCCCTAAAGGATTAAAGCGAATTAGCCACACACAGAGGCTGGCCGAACGCAGTGAGGGTGTGACTCTTCCCCTTTCCCCTGGGCTGGGGCTGGCCAGGCTCCCACTCAGGGCTGGACTGGGAGCTTCGGGCCTGCACTGTCTGCTCCCCCGTTGCTGTCACCGCTCACTCCGTCCTGCTGTCTCTCGGGTCCCCTGCCTCTGCCTGGAAGGCTGGCCTGCTGTCTCCCGGCTGTGCCTGCTGTGTGCACCACGAACTCGGGTTCTCCCTCGGACCGCTCTGCCGGGCGGGGCTCTGCTTTGGGTCACTGGGGTGCCCCCAGGGCCAGCACGAGGGTGGGCTCAGCGGCCCCAGTGCCTCCCAGGGTCAGAACTTGAGGGGCAGGTTGTCCCTTCTCCTCCTCCCTCCCGGACCTCCTGCCCAGGCAGAGCCACTGTGGACCCTCGGGACCCTGGCCAGCTGTGCCCTGTGTTCTTTGCCAGTCAGTCCCTGGGGGTTGGTGGCAGATAACGGTTCATGGGTGCTTGTTCTGCTGTTTTACATGGTTTACGCATCTCATTTGGAACCTAAATAGCTACTGCTGCCTCTGAGGGAAGCAGATGCACAGAGACCAAAAGCAGTTTCCCCGGGCCACACAGCTCCAAGTGTGGAACCTGGATTTCCACGTAGGGGTGCAACTCCAAAGCTGGCTTCCACACCCCTCGCCTGTGTCCCCTGTCCTCCATGACTCTGACTCCGCTTTGGGAGGCCGGTCAGGGGCCACAGCTCCTGCGTGGCTAGGGGCAGTGGGTGGTGGCGACACCAGGCCTCTCTCCTGTAATCACCCCAGCTGGTGGGGTGTCCCCTGCCTCACTGTGAGAGCCACAGGTTCCAACTGCAGCCGGACAGGTGGAGAGGTGGCCTCTTCCTGTCTGGGGGCCTCATGGCCCTGCGGCTGGAGCCCGGGCTGTCCCTCAGGGTCACCCCTGCCCCCCTGTCACCGTGTTGGCCTTGGGCTGCTTCCCGTGGGACCTGTGGCCTGGGCAGTGGGACACGGTGCACCCTGCTTGTGCCCAGTCCCTCCTCTTTCCTGCTGGTAGCTTCCGGTTCCTCCTGGGGGGCCGCTGCAGGCTGTGGCTATTTTTAGTTTCCCTGAGTGGTTTCTTCTCATTTCCCTCTTTGCTCCTGGTGGATTTGCTTTCTGTGCGTGCTTTCTGTGCACGTGTGCGCATCTGTGTGCATGTGCTGACGGCATACACATGAGTGCCTGCACACCAACACACGCGGTGGTGTGTGGCCACGTGTTGAAGCACACGCAAGCACCCACAGGCACACATGTTGCTTCCTTTGCATGGGTGCACACTCCGTGGGTGCTGTGTGTGCTGATGTAGGCAGGACTTGTCGGGACACAGGTGCACATGTGTCCACACAGGTGACGGTGGGTCCCATGCCACCTGTCCCTTCGGAGGCCACCCGGTGCGAGCTGTGGTCCCCTGCCTGGATCTTCGGGTTCCAAGAAGCACCCTGGCCTCCAGCGCTTCCTGGAACGGGTGGCCCTGGCCATCG